AAAAAAAAAAATTGTTGTAGAAACTCAAATAGTGAAGAGAACAAAAAAAATCTATCATCACAAAAGTTTTCAACTGTACGTTAATTGAAATATTTAATATTTAAATTATAATCAGACTAAATGAAACTTTAACATAAATTTAAGTTTTTAATTGTTTACTCATCTTGGTTTTTAAAATTTATTTTATAATTATCTCCTCCCTTTATTTGAAGTAAATAAATTTATGATTTTACTTTTGATTTTAAATTAAGCTTTAAAAGTATGAAATTAAACTATTTTGAGATGGTAACAAAAATTAACCCGTTTTATATAACTATTATGACATAATAGTGATTTTGGATACTTAGTTTTTATATGTTCTGAAAATGAGCACACCTATTTATACATGATTTTCCAGTGATGCTATGTTACTTGACTGGGGATGAAAGTATGGGTTAGAAGAAACATGCTTTATGCTTATTGCATGATTTTTATTTCCGATATAGTCATTGATCTGTACCCCAAGTATGAGGCTTCTAAACACTAGCCACATTGACATGTTATATGTGAACCAGTTTATTTTAGGCAACGAGAATAAACATTTTAGGAGTCAAGGTATGTAGTGGCCTCTTATTCACAAATAGATACAGCTAACTGTACTAACTTGCAAATTCCACTCCATGCATTCCTGGAAATTAACATAACAAAATCTGAATTTAGAGATAATTATGCACAAACAATAGAAAACAAGAGAAAAGGACCTGAGCTTGAGCAATTTCAATGAGGCACCAACAAGAGGAAGATACTCTGTAGTAGTGCATCCAAGATCAACCTGGCATCGTATCCAATCTGATTATGGACCTCCTCTGTTTCTCTCTCTCCTCGATGCTGATCTTCATTACTAGAACTCAAAAAAAATAATTTGCATTAAATTATAAGTTGCTTTGAAAATAATTAGTATATTTTACACAGTCATATATAGCAGAATTAACGAGAAAATATAAGAATAAAGGTTGACATAAATCCATCCTTTGCATCTTTCATAAAGGATTTTTTTTTTTTTTTTTATGAATTGCCCAAGACTACAATGACATGGAAAACAAAAAATTTTTATCCGAAATTTCTTTCCTTTCACAGTGAACTCAAGCATGATTACCATCCCAAAAAACTCAAGGATATGTGAACAATTTTAAATATAAATATGATGAACCCATAAGGTTTCACAGTTTTAATAAAGAGAAGCTATACAAAAGATGTAATAACAGTCACAAACTCAAAAAAATAGAAATAGTAGATGATTATAATGCGTGCCCACTTGATGACTATCTGGATAGGCAAATGGAAATCCACTCTTTGCTTCTTTACTTGTGTTCACTATGGATTGTAGAGATGCGAAAAACAGGGCAAGTCAAATTTAGGCATAAAAAACTAATTACATCTAAGTCATTTTGTAAATAATAAAAAACCAATGCTTATAAATTTCAAAATCAATCTCTCACCAATGATCATTGGGAAATAAACCAAAAAAGAAACTGGACAAATCTTGGTTTCCTTCTCCCTAACTCTTTCATTCAATTACTTCTTTCATCATCTTGCCTTGATTTTTAATTTTACTCACTCATCTTAACTCATTTTTTACACACACAGGCATAAATAATTAGATTCATTTTAAATCAGTAAAAATTACATAAGATCCACTTAAAAACAAATAAAATTGAATAAATAAGTATCTAAATGTTTCCCTAAAACCACTACAACATAAAAAGGCATAGAAACCAACCTTGAACAAAAAACAATCATAACAAAACCTGCTCTAAACTTAATCTCTACATGAATAGAATTGTAAAGAAGAATAAAGTAGATACACAACAGTAGGATAGATAGCAGATCAATCTCAGTTCGTATACAGCATCAAAACTTGCATTCAAACCAAGGGAAAGCCAATTTCTAACAAATGTCAAGAATAATTGAACAAAAATTAAAAAGAAATCAACAAAATAACACTGA